ATGTTCATCGGCAAATTCAATTTACTCTCTATTTCCTGCGGGGGTGGATTTGATCGCTATTCACTCAGGCTTCCAATTTTAAGAATTTCTACCATACTTGTTTACCCATATAGTTCTCCACATGTATAGTTATTGTAATTATAAAAAACATAATTCTTAATAAACTTCAAGCCAAAGCATTATTTGATAATTTTGTCCAAATTAAAGAAAATACGGGCCATCATTTTATATGTCACTCTCTGTATCTTTTCCACTAGTCTACATTGTGAAGCAGTCCATATATTTTGAATGTTTTATTTTCCTAAATACATTTCTAAGTACTATCCAAACATTAAAATGTTTTGCTGGTATCTCTTTTATGATTCACATAAATGCGGATAAAGCGTGTTTACTGAAACACAGTGTCAACTACTATTACGTTAGCCGTGAGTTTTTTGTTGCTGTTATTTTCTGTAGCTAATGAGATACCAGTGACTTATTTATGATAACTCAAAAAATACCATAAGAAATCTATGAAAGATTTACTTATCATAAATCTTGGGCAATTTCCAAAATATTCTCTACCACAGCACATCTTTTTTTCTTCTTTCTTTTTTTTTTCACAGCACACTTTCTTAATTCCTTCTTTGAACTAAATTACATAATATTTATATTATATATATTATGTTTACTTTATTTGCTTACTATGTTTGGATCTATAAAAGAGTAGAGATTTGTCCTTTATTCACTACTGAGTCTCCTGATGGAGATTTTTAAGCATGGGGCTTAAAAGTGAAGAAATTAACACCTACGCCCCCTACGCCCCAGATTTCCAATGCTATTATGTAATTTTAAATTATATAAAGTGAGAAATAAAATGACTAGTTTTATTGTCATCTCTAGATGAAGTCTAAAACTTCAGTAAAGGCTATTTCAAATTTCTCAAAACAATCTAGAGACTCTTAATTTTGAAATGGTAAGGTGATGATGTGGGAACTGACATTTCCGAGCGTGACAGGCCTGGACACAGAGGACACGTCAGACTCACAGTCCCAGCACAGCGCTCATAGTAACAGCACGCCGTGGGCAAGTGTCCGCCTGATGGGTGATCCAGAGAGAGCAAACGTACTGATTCCAGAGGACGCTTGTGAAGATTAAACTGTAGGATTCCTGCAAAGCACTTAAAACAACGCCTGAGAGAGAGCAGGAACTCAAACACCTCTATTAAATAGATTTCTATCCGCAACCCCTGCAAAAAACTCTCGGCTTTCAAGTTTGTTTTTTTCATTACTAGGTGAGTTGCAAGAATTATCAAGACTACTTCCATATCTAACAGTCAAGGCGGCAGTGACTTCTTCATTGAGCACTTTGATGGTCGCAGGTTTAAGAGCTCTCAGTCTGTCCTTTTAAACCGTGGTAGTTCTTTCAGCACTTATACTTGATAGTTTCTCTCTTGTCCTAAAATAGTTCAAGTCCTATAAGAGAAGGGACGACTTATATATAAATGTTAAATAATCTGTTCATTTATTTGAAAGTTAGCGACAGCAGATGCCAAGACTAACTTCATCGCCAAGTTGGCCTGTGCCACGTTTATTACCAGGCAAATGTGCAACTGTTCACTCTACCTTTGGTTCTAATGTTAACAGGAATGTTTTAAATCACATTTTGTCCTCAGTGATGTCAAGACGGCAGCGTCTTAGTTCAAACACCTGACCTCTCTAAATTTTCCAGTTATCCCAGACATTTTTATCTTTGCAAAGTCATCATAAATGTTGCAATACATTTCACCTTTAAATGCTGTATCTATTCCTGAATATCTTGGTCATGATTTACTTCTAGATACAGAATTAAAACTGAGTGGTGATTTACAAGTTAGGCTGATTGTTAGTGTGAATGCAATGATCAAAATTCAGTCCATCACCTCTTGATTTATATTACTAAGGGAGACAGCACTATACGTGATTATCTAAGGCCCTCAAGAACCTATGGCTACCAGGGGAGACTCACTAATCATATAATGAAAGTACTGATTAGTGAGGATTGTATTTTCATTTCTGTAAAGCTTGATGTAATCTAATGAAGCAGGTTACTCTGTGGAACTTCCCTAACCCAGGCCAAGATTATCATACAGGAAATATTTACTAATGTCAATTATTTCACAGGCTTATTGCTCCCTGCACAACATAAGATGAATGCATTGAAAAATTAAAAATATGAGTCAATAAATATCAAAAAACTGCCCAAAAGACAGCAGGCAAATATATGGCTTACATTGTTTATATCCATAATGTTTGGCCCTAATGTGAATCTTGCCAGAGTAGAATTTCTTGACGATATCTAAGAAGACCACAGCTGGAAAGTTCATGTTACAAAAATAAAAAAAACAAAACTGAAAACCTCTTGTTATCCAGAATTGCATAAGAAAAGCAAAACTATCTAGGAATAAAAAAATTAACTTTAGTAACTGTAGTTTTATAAAAACTTTAAATATATGAAAGTAAAGATAGTGCATTTATAAAAACTGAACTTATTTTTTAACTAGCATTGTCTCTTTTGTCCTTAGCAAATGTTAACTTTGAAACAGGACTTGGTCTTGTTCAAAGACTCTTACTTACCAGTGCCTTTATAGTATTTTGTACAGTTACCATATTCAATATCCTCCTTTTTAATATCAAATTGAGGCAAGGCGATTTTCTCCAACTGAACAGGGTCCCCTGACTGCCAGATAAATCGTAAATCATCAGTTGTGTAACCAACTAGAAACAGAAATGCATAAATAAAATATTAGTTTGAAATATAATTATTAACACTTCTTTAATATTTCAATAATCCAAATGTTAAACCTTGAAATGGCAAAATAATTGGCTCTTTTATATGAAACTTTTCTTAAAAAGTCAAGAGGTAAAAAAATCTATGGTCACAAATGAAAATATTAGCACAAAAGTTACAGATAATTGGCTTAAAGAAAGGACAAGCTAAAATAATTGGGTTAGCGCACACGGTTAAAATCTGAGCGTGTCATAAACGGTAGCACATTTTTCAATGTCAGATTTCTGAATCGTCATCAATAAACAAGTAATAAATAAACGATCCTAGCTTTCTGAATGGATACATTTACAATCATGCAACACACTACGCAGAGATTTTTAAAGAAACTTAAGCACCAGAACACTTAGTTTTTTGAAGGATTAACTACCAACTTCCCTAAAGAGTTGCACTGCCAGAGGAAAGCCATAAAACAAACCCCTCCAAGGGACAGGATTCCATCCCGGCAGCCTCCCGGGGCCACACTGGGGGCGGAGGGACCCGGCTACTCCTCAAGGATCCTGTGGGATTCACGGCACATTGCAACCTACCCTTCAACCCTAACATGCCTGCATTTTTTAAAGCAATATTTCAGTGTATCTAGTAATAGAACTGAATGTAGATACACATTTGGAATTATTTATACAAATACAGATTGACACACAGGCGTGTGTCTATAACACGTGTACAAACATGTACAAACATAACACTTAAGTCTGCAAAATCTCATATGTTCCAGTTAGAAAGCAATAAATATTGTTCAAATTCAGGATCCAACTTCAGTAAATTGAAAAACAACAACAAATAACCACTAAATTACTTGAAAGCATCATTTAGCAGGCACATGCAGGACATTTACAGGGCCATTCTTTGTAGAAAAAGGTCATGGTATGCAGGTATTCAGGCTTAAGATTCTTTACATTAATTAATTGTTAATTAACTGTTGTTAATTTTTCAAGCTTTTTGCCTACTTTTAATGTGATAAGCTTCATAGAAAATTAACTAATATATTTTAGAGAGAATCATCTCAATAAATACCTCTAGTACATCTTTTAGAAACTGAAAAATACATGATCATAGAAATATAGAAAATCCAAAATCCAATTTTGTAAAACATAATTTTTTTACAGATCCATAGACAATGAATGCTTGGTGGGATTTAGATAATATTTTGCAATATTTTCCAAATTTTCCGCTGCTCTGAAAAATGTGGTTTTAACATTAGTAAAGTTATTAGGACATCATTGCCCCCTTTGCCTTGCCTATATGACTAATTCAGATGAAGATGGCAACTGGAGTCAGTCAGACGTGCACACCCACAGCCACAACAACTCAGCGGAAATAAAAACCTAGTACCAAAAGGACGTGTCTATCTCAGCACAAATAACAGAGCTAAAGAATAACTGTAATTCCCTGAAATAAATTAGTGCCTATTTGTAATCAGAAGCATTCATTTTACCATTGTTATCTAAGGTATGAGTAGCATGTATGGCCTAGAAATTTTAAGCACTTTTATTTCTACAGTCATTTACGGTCAGTTGTACATACAGCTCTCAAGTTGCATCTTGCAACGCTGAGTATCCATGGGAAACAAGGTTAGGTCCAAAGGGCATGAAAGAGTGATGGATAACCTGAAAGTAGAAACAGAGGTCTCAGGACTCGTCTAATGCATTCCTCTGTGACACGCTAATTTTAAAAGGCAAAGATAAATCTACATGTATTAAAGATAAAAGTACCTCATGCTGACAAGGACATCTCCATCCCGAAAAATAAAGAGGAGGATGTTTTCCTGGGTTACATCATGAAAATTGGCACTTTTTTCATTTGCAAAAAATAAATCGGGTTTCCACAGACACTTGTACATTGTGGGATCCACCGTCAGTGCATCTGAGCCCCGAAAATCACTAGGGAGCTTCAGCCTGGGGTCGTTCCATTTCTGTCTCAGGAAGATGTTAACTCTGTAATCCTGGGGGGAAAGAAATTAGGTGCGCATGCGTCTGTTGATTGCTACTTTTAAGACTGTGCTCAGGACCAATGAAAATGGCTCAGTGATCAGCAGCACAAATAGGGCTGCTCTTCCAACATCAACCAGGATTACAACAGCGTGGTCACTAGCGCTAAAAAGACCCCTGTGTCTGTCTAATTACCCTCTCAGACATTCCCCAAGCACTTGCCAGTTCAAACGTCAGAATATAATTTTATTGATAATTGCTCTTCTGTAATAAAATACCAGTCATACCAGCGGACTAGCTGGTGCTGCCCTAAAAAGCACACACACTACTAAATATTACCATTATTCTCCAAAATGTGGAATGAAGTTTAGTTAAAAATAGTTAAGAAGCTGAAAGAAAATATTTCACTTGTCTTTTACTAAGTAGCAGAATACAAAATAATTTATATGTATATAAAACTATATATATATATAACACATGTATTATACATACACTTAAGAAAAAGTAAAACTACCCTTGACCACTCAGATATGTCAGTGATCATAGAGAGATTGTCAAACAAGATTGAGATTATGCAAATCAGATGAGACTACATGCAAAATTTGTATCTGTTACGTTAGATTCAACATAGTAGGAAAACGTTTTGAAATCCACTAAGTCGCTGATTTTTTTTTTTGGCCTATCTCCAAAGCCCTAACTTTAAAACTTTGTAAAAGTTGAGTTCTATGAAGACATATACATTTTAAGAATATGTGAGCCTAGGAACATGTTTAACCTTACTACAGCTTGGCCTTCCCACTGAAACGCGGTTCCGGGGCACACTGGGTTATTGGCATGTGTAGTCCAACTCCGCATTGTGGTCTTACATTCGGGTGTTTTGATTTTAATTTTGTATACTGAACTCAGAATACGCACCAGAGTGTTCAAGGCATAAATTACCTTGGGTTTCAGCAACCTTATTTTCAACCATTCCAAACTCACATAATACTATTTATCCATACCCTGTTGACATGATCAAAATGAATCAGACCATAGATATCAAGTCAAAATCCAAACAATTAAATACGAAGAGGTGATAGATTATCTTTTATTAAATAATAAGACCTAATCTATTTATAGGAAACAAACGCATAAACTTTGCATAGGCATCAAATATAAAATGAAGCATTAGCAATAGGCAGTGACCCTCAAAAAAATCTGAGAAATTTACTCCTTCAGATTCTATCCAGTAACCAGAGAAGGGTGAAGCACAGAATCATTAACAAACATTTACTGAACTACAGACAGGGAAAAAAGACTTAATCCACCCACATCCTACAGCTAAACTTGATGTTTATAAAAACATCGACACCTAATATAAACTGATTATTAAAACTCACATGCAGGTGGTTTTGAAGTGCCAAAGTCAAACCAATTAAGGATGCTCTAAGCTGACACTGAACACATCTGTACCACTGGCAGACGAGAACGAAGGTAACATTTTCCAGGGTGGGGAGGTCATAGCTCAAGGGTAGAGCACACACTTAGCAGGCACGAGGTCCCGAGTTCAATCCCCAGTACCTCCATTAAAAATAAATAAATAAACCTAATTACCTCCCCCTCCCCCAATAGTTATTTAAAAAATTTCATAATGGGACTTAAGTGATCATGTCACCTCTGACTGTGACTGCGGCAACTACAGAAATCAGCTCAGAACGTGTCCAGGCAAAGGCCTGTCTACCTCACAGGGTCAGCCTTCCAGCAGACACAGCGCTGCTTCCTGACCAAAGTGTTTTTCATTCCACAAAAACATGCATCGCCTTCCACTTAAGAAGAAATACACAGTAGGACCATTTTCTAATAAAATTCCAATTATGCTAGCTTAGCTAAAGCACGCAGTTGATATCCACTTGGCATTGCATTCAACCGTATTCAATTTCAAATTATTATTTGCTAAAAAGCCTCCTTGTACGCACCAGCCAAAATGACTGGTATTCTAAAACGATATACATTAAAGGCAATTTTATTACCTCCTGTAACTACTGTATCTTATCAAGGTAAGTCATCAAAGACTAAAACTTAAAACCACAGTGTTTACCATATGCATTCACAGTTATTATGACAAAATCCTACGTCCTTAACTTGTAATTAAAGTCAGTATAAAAAACAACCATGAGGTGGCCAATGTATCTTTTATAAGCTTGTTATTAAAGCCATGGTCTCTAACTTTGGTCAGGGACCACTGCATGCAGATACTAAAAAGGATTTTTTCCCTCTTTATGCCATTTTATTTGTTTATCTATATACTACTGATGACAGTGCTCTCCTGATGCCCGTCTGTGCTTCCTGTTGCTGGGGAGGACCCCTTCACGTCTGTCATCACGCTTCTTCTGTCTGGCAGCCCGAGAGCTGAAAGCGACGTCCTGCAGCCAGTGGGCTCAGTGCACTCTCACCTCCTGCTATGACTCTCAAGGCTACGGCTCGGCTCGGGTGTGCCTGCTAGTTAATTACTACACTGTAACCTGTCATTATCATCTACCACAAATCCCCTCCAGACACAGGGATGGGTCACAAAGAAACAAAATAACAGAGGAGACATTGCCGTATACTTGACAAGAGTCTTTCAGCAGTATCTGGGTGTACACTCAAGCAACTCTGCCAGTGTGGCTTCTAAAATCAGGATGCTCTGTTTTAGCCTAACATTAGGTTTTCTTCCCTTAATAGAATGCTAGATTTATGTATAGAAATATAATATTAAAGTCTCATTGGTATTCTTTATCTAGACCCCAAATGACTACATTTTGCTTCTTAGCAATCAACTTCTAAAGACATTATACCAATATTTTACAATACTAGTCAAGATAGCTAACAGGAATTAAAGCAATGTTAATCTTTAACTGCAGCATATTTTGCATAATTAAAAAAAGAAGCCATCTTGTAATGCTTGGGGTGGAACTTCAGAAATTAAGCCAGCATTATATTGAATTCCCTTAAAATCCCCACACATACTGAATTCCCCTTAAAATCTCCACAGATGCCTACATTCTTTTGGGAGCAGGATTCTATGCCCCACCTATTTCCAAAATGGTATGGTTAATGCATCTTAAATTATACAGCAACATTACTTTTCTTTTAAAGTTTTTAAAGCAATTTTAATAGTGTTTTACCAGGTGAAGTTCATTTTTCTAAATCCTTCTTGACTTGGAAATCCTATTTTTCAAAATCCTTTCTGATTTCTAAAGGCTTCTAATCAATGTTTCCACACAATCCAAGAATATATTCATGTCATTTATCAGTTATTAAGTTCAAAGTTCATTTTAATCAGCCGAAAGCTGATTAAAGCCCTACACAGCATCAGAGACTTTGACAAAATAAAACCCGTCTGGGGGGAAAAAACTACAAAATTACAAATGATATAAGAACATTTTAATTTATAGTCAAACCCCTTTTTATTCTATGTATCTGAAACAGGCTGGCACCTGGGACCCTTTGCTACAGACAAACATATGCTTGAGCAACAGAAAACAAAGAAACTCTAAGGGGCTAAAAATAACTGCACACATGCATAGTTGCAGCAAATTATGAATAAGATACAAAAAGGCCACAAACCAATGAGCACTTCTGAGGTTCAGGGAGCAATGGAAGGGTAATGGGCATGATCCCTGCACTCAGACCACAACGGGGGTGGGCAGGCTACCCAAGCCACCCCTCCAGCTCCATCCCTGGACCCACCCGCACCCTCACCGCATTTAAGGGACCAGCTTGCACTCCCCACAGGGGTCCCAGTAAAGCCTGGCCTGAATTCCTTGTCTGGCCTCTTACCTATTTCTATTGATTAAAGAGCCCAAGGACCTGAGTTAGTAACACACCACCATATACAACTTTTAAAAATTTATGTTAATTAAAGTATAAAGCCTAGTATAATGGAGTCAGCACACACTTGGGCATAGAAAGGTCCTGGTTCAAACCTCAGCTCTGCATCTTAGAAGACCCTGAGCAAGTTTCTTAACCTCCCTAAACTCGGTTTCTAAATTAAAAAAAAAAAAGGGAATACTAATATCTTAATGTGATAAATAAGTTACTCAGTGTAAACGATTAATATAGTACTTGTTATATAAAAAAGTTAGTTTCTTTTCTCTTTTACACACTTGAGAATCCAACCACAGAGTACACTGGGCACTTCTGGAGAACATTTATCTAAGTTCTTCCTAAGTCCCTCGGTGATCGGTTGGCGGTCACTCAGCTCTAAAGTTGAATGTTAACCACATATTTCTTTACACGCTCTGGGTAGGAAGCGTGCAGCTGTGGTTACTTCTCGGCTTCACAGAAGTAACTCTAAGGGATGTTGACAAATCAATCAAGTATAAAAACAATCTGAAGAAGACTATGTAAAAAGAAACAGTTTGCAACGGGACCTCTAATCTAGACTCTAAGGAACAGCTAAAAGGAACTTAGTGAACTGACATCTACACTGAGACATAAAGGATCGTGGAAGTTAGACAAGTTCAGTCTGAATTATGTCCTGCTGTGTGGTCTAAGGCGAGTTATTTAACCTCTCTAAGTCTCATATCCCCTGTCAATAAAAATAGTCCCCAGTTATTTACAAGAACTCAATGAGATGCTGTACCTAAAGAAAGCACGAAATCTGGTACAAAGAGAATACTCAAAAGAGATAACTGATTTTATTATATGTATTATTAGTATTATTATCAATATATCTATTATCACCAGTTGGCAGTTTTTGTGCACTAGGTGTCAAGCACTATGCTCGCTGCTAGCCATACAGAGAGCAATGCAGTACAGAACTAGAAAACAAAGCTGAGATTTCTGGACTATTATTCAGATTTCAGTGACTTAAGACACACTGACTACAAATGGTAAACTTGTTTTACAGACCAACAGAACGTCCACCTGCAATTACGTTCCAGGCTAAATTGAACGATGACAAATGCGGCTCAGTTAACGGTCAGTTGTGTTGTACTATGTGAAGCAATCCTTCCTCCCTCCCTCCATCCGTTCATTCATTCAGTAGTTA